TTTCATCTAGTCCAGGGGTGCTCAATTTCTGAATCTAGCTTGAGGAGTTCCCATGGGTCGGGAAATTTGGCAGTGGGGGAGCAGTGAAAATACTACCACAACACTCCATTACCAAAATTCCAAGCCCCGTGGGGCAGGTTGGAGCTGGGCCACAAACCTCCCCCTGCACAGTCAAATAAGGGAAGGGCCAGGCTCTCTTCCCTCTACACCATCTGGTTGGGGCTGACCCATGCCCCACTTTCTCTCCCTGCCAGGGCAGGCAACACCCCGTTCCCTCCAACCAGCCAGGCTGGGGCTGAACCAAATCTCCTTCCCTCGCATGGCTGGATGGGGGCCCGGCTGTTCTCCTTCCCCCTCCATGCAGCTGGATGGGACTCTGCTGTGCCTGCCCCAGGGGCCAGATTGAGTCCAATGGATCTGGCCCCTGGAAGGATCAGGCACTGCCCATCTGGCCCACTGCATTGAAAAGATTGAGCACCTTGCTGTAGTCCAACTTCCCATTTAGAATCAACTGAAAAACAAAAAACACCCATGCCTTCCTACAAGCCCTTTGGTTGAGCCATCAAATACTAACCAGAGAGGCGCCACGTGTCATTTACAGATGGAGTGATGGCCGATCTATCATGCCTCTGGCTAAATCATCCAACAGTGAACCAAGAGGGGCATGCTCGGCCTTGGGGAGCCGATCTAACACTCTCCCAGCAGACTGCCCCAACAGCAGCAACCGTGCCAAAAAAACCTCGCCTCTATGTTCTTAGGCCTACGTCACCTGCTAACCTGCCCCTGTGAGTCTCAACTGGGTGTTGCACACCATCAACACCGTTTCCCCAGAACAGGTCTCCCGAAGGAGCCTGTCCTTTACATCAGAGCACAGCAGAGCAGGAGGTTTCTGGGTTGCTTGTAATAGTGGGAGGGAAAAGAAAAAAAATTGTTATACATTAGTATTTTTCCTGGCTAAAAGGTCTTGCCCTTCCACTGTGGGTCAGATCCACTGCCATATGTGAGGTCAGGAAAAAAATTTACTCCTTGGTCAGATTGGTATGGATTTGGAGGTTTTTGTTTTCTTCTGTAGTGGGGGACATGGCCTTCTGCCTGGGACCTCTTGACCGTATACTAACAACTTTTTATAGAAGCAGGACATGCTGACTGCCCGGATTCCCCTGCTTTACCTGGGACAGTGAGGGCACTAGGTCTGTGTGGTGCCAGAGCTGAGAGCAGTCTTATCCAGAGTTTAGATTATGGTTTGTATAGGATGGTTCGGAGAGGGCTGATCCTGCCCCAGGCTGGCAGCTGGACTAGATAGACAGCTTTTTGGAGGTCCCTTTCAGACCCGCTTCTCTATGACTGTTTTTCCACCAACAACCCAGGTGGCAAGAGCAAAGCCCTTTGCCACCAGGAATCTCCCAGCTAACTGAGGTAAAGCCCTTTGCCACAGGGGACCTCCCAGCTAACTGAAGTTAAAAAAACCCCTGGCTGAGACATCCCCGCCTCGGCTTTCCCAGCACTCAGCTGCAGGACACGGCTGCTTTCTGCCCCACGGACAGCGTGGGGGGGGGGCTTTTTCTCCCCCTGCTCCCAACAGAGCCTGGCGCTCTGGGTCTCGAGAGCATCCCCAGGTGGGCTGGAAGCTCCTGCCAGCTTGCAAAGGGGAAGGGGATGGGAAAAAAAGTGGATGTATTAAGCCCCAGACACCAAGGGAGGGAGAATCTGCGACTTCCCTTGAGGGTTTTCTAGGGAGAGGCGAGATGCTGACTGAGACAGGATCATGCTGTCTTTCTAAGGGATTTGACTCAAAAATTGGGCTTTTACTTTTCATTTGAATTTGCCAGACTACAGCCTGCAACTATTTCACTGCGGCTTCCCCATGGGCACCCGCTGCCGCTGACGGGGTTGGGAGCCGCGCGCAGGGCGGGGGGGGCTGCTCCGAGACCCCCCCCCCACCC